GTTGACCACTGGTGACGAACTGGAGGCAGGGAGAGAATATAATCCACGCTCACAAGGGCCCTTGAAAAGAACTTGGTTGGTGGTATTGTCCCGAATCATAAAATCCTTGGAAGTGAAAAGTAGGGAACAGTTATTATCTTTGGTAAATTGATGAACAGATAAAAGGTGAGAGTTAATATGAGGGGAATGAAGGAGATTGGTTAATGTAAAGGTATGGTTTGGAGTGGTGAGTATACCTGAGCCTGTATGGTCAATAGGATAAGTATTACCTCCCGCAGTTGTGATAGAATTGGTGCCATGATAAGGTGAAGAAGTATGCAGCCGAGAAAAATCAGACGTCACATGGGTGTTCGCTCCAGTATCCAGATGCCAGTTCGGATTGGTTTCAGCAGATTGATTGGTGTAGTATGCCTGTGGAGGACCGGAGTAAGATTCATCGTAGCGGTGCCAACAATTCCAGACCGCATGACCGGTCTTACCACACAGTTGACATGTGATGCCGGCCCCACGTCCACCACCGCGACCTCGCGGTTCCTCGCGGTAGGAAGGCAGCCGGCCTCCTCTGCCACTGTAGCTGCTGCCGCGGGAGGGCCCTCCTCGGCCACGACCCCGGCCAGTATCTCGTCCTGAATTGGTGAATAATGCATGGTGAAGATCTGTTGACGAGGGAGAACCAGAGTCACCAAGGTGCAGTTTCTTCTCAAAAGTGAGATTTAATTCTTCCGAGAGCAACCACGCAGATACTTGATTGAAAGTGACGGTTGCAATATTGGTACGAATATTTTGTTTGAGCGAGGCATAATCCGTAGGGAGGCCGCGAAGCACACACAGGATAATATCTTGTTCAGAGATGTCCTCATGAGCCAATTTCAGAGATGAGACAATAGTGAGAACAGTGTCCAGGTATGTTTGCATGGAATCAGTGCCCTTTTGAATGCTATGTAGACGCTCCTTCAATTGAAAAATATGAGTACGTGAAAGAGAATTGTATCGTTGTTCGAGGTGATTCCAAATTGCAGCAGATGATGGAAGAGCATGAATATGCGTCTGAACAGTTGGAGAAACAATAGCGAGAAGACAGGCCCAGATTTGAGCATCAACAAGAACCCATGAGTCATAAGCAGGATTGGGTTTCATAACTGGCGGTGCATCCTTGCCAGGGGCAGCAGCTTTCTCGTCCAAAATAAGGGGTGAAGGAGGCACTTCTGAACCATCAACATATCCGAGGAGACGATGAGCGACGAGGTTTGCGCGAACCGTAGCAGACCAAGAGGGATAATTTGTATCATCTAGTTTGACCGGAGTTAGAGATTGAAGATTCCGGACAAATAATTTCAAGCCCGTAGGCAGTCGATCCATGGGATCAGAAGTTTGAGCAGCCATGGCCGATCGGTGGAGATCGGCGGCGTGGGGAAGATCGGCGGAGATCGGCGGCGGTGGCCGATCGGCTGGGCCGATTTTTTTTTTTTATCGAGAAGGAAGAGACGGATCAATAGGCTCTGATACCATATTGAATTATGATTTCAACTCAAGGAAATAATTGTGTACAAGGTAGTTTATATAGATGGAGATTCCTACATCAATTAGGATTCTCCAAGTATGGTAATTAACTATAATAATAATCCTTCTATAACTAGAACTATTTCCATATTTATCTAACAAATATCCCAACACACACAACGACCAATCCTGAAAAATCACTCTTTCGTCTAAGGATGCTTAACCGCCGCACCGAACCATTCCTCTTCGAGGGACTTCGTTCCTCTACGAGAGTACGAAGTCTCTGCGGGGAAGGAATGATACATGCTTTGGCTTGCCACGTGTGTGGTGGTTAGATATGGTTAGCTGGTGGTTGAGTTTAGCTCGGCGGGGCTCAAGGCATGTATATACTTGTATCCAAGTTGTGGTTGGAATAAGAACACATTTAATTTAATCTCATTTCACATAACTTCTCTCTCTCTCTCTCTCTCTCTTCTCTCTCGCATTTGATCAGGACTTCAATTCTTGGTCTTTATCCTTCATGCATCCTCGAAGATTCATCTCCACCTCCGAATACTCCTGCATTGAACTTTATTTGAGTGGCGGATGCCTCCTAAAGAGTAACGGAGGTGTGCGAAGGTAGGCTCAAAGCTAATATTTTAAACATTAAAAGCTAACCCGTGAACCGACAGTTCTGACCCGGTTCGACGGGTCACAAGGTTTTTCCAATTTTCAAGGTAAATGGAGTTCTCTTCTAGACCGGACCAGAAGTCTAAGCGGGTCACGGTTCGATCGGTCCGATCCGCATTTGAAATTTTGGTGTGAAGAGGAAATGTGTGATCGGTAAGCTAGGCCCCTGTTAGAACATCAAAAGATATAATTATTTTTTCCATAAAAATGCTTATTTAAGATCTAGCCATATAAACGCAAAACTGTTTGACATTACATTCATTATTTTCCCCTTTTTAGGACTTAAAAAAACGATTATTTAAGATCAAAAAATAAAAATTGAAAAAAATTAGAGTGATGTATGTTACATAAACGTGTGCGAAAATGTTTATTTAAAAAAAATGTTTTCTTACTCCTCAACAAATTTGAATTGCAAAAAAAATTAATATTTTTATATGCCAATAAATCAGTAAGGCCCCTTTTAATTAAGAAATGTTAATATATTAAGAATGACTTGAATTTTTTTTTTTTAAAAAAAAAAGTCTGATGAATCCGGATGATTCCATATTAAATTAATTGAGGGTTAACTTGTACGGAGTATTAGTGAAGATATTGGTTCATTTTGTTTACATGTGTTAAGGCATTGGATTGAATCACACAATCATTGTATATCCGCCCATTTATGTCCAAAATAACAAAAATTACTCACGAAAAAACATTAAAAAAAAGTGTTCATTTATTTTGTGTATATAAGACTTTCATGTTTTTTTTTTCTGAAATAGGACTTTGCACTGTGTTAATGTGACACTGTACATGTGCACATTACATGTACGATACTTTTTTTGGTAATGAATATGACCATGAATGTAAGTCATATTTTGGGAATAAAAACACGAAAGTTCTATTTTGTTATATTTTCAATGTGATAGTCCTATTTAATTTGGTCTTTCTCCCTTAAATTTAGAATTTGATAGAGAATGTATTTACATACATATACGTATTCTTTTTATATTAAACCACGGAGTATATCGTATAAAAAGGTCTTCCAAAATATTTGAATAAATAGTCATCAAAATGATTTTTTTTTTGTGAGGCTACAAAGTTTGTGTAATAAGAAAAAAAAATTACATAGGATTTAAAAACTGAAAATGAATCACATGCAAAATCATAACTACATAACATATCCATTTACATACATATACGTATTCTTTTTATATTAAACCACGGAGTATATCGTATAAAAAGGTCTTCCAAAATATTTGAATAAATAGTCATCAAAATGATTTTTTTTTTTGTGAGGCTACAAAGTTTGTGTAATAAGAAAAAAAAAATTACATAGGATTTAAAAACTGAAAATGAATCACATGCAAAATCATAACTACATAACATATCCATTTACACCCAGATTATTTTTGTCACAAAGAATTATTTATTTTTTTTCAACAACTGTAATTTTAAGTTAAGTGCATCATTGATTAAATAAAACATTTAATAAGCAAATTATCTTAGATCACGACCATGTTTGCTAGAATGCCAGTATTTTTTTTGTTATAAAAAGGGGGGGGGGGGGGGATAAATGTAATAACTCTTGTTGTACTGTGTGTCATTCTAATCTAATTTGGCATGCATCTCCACCACCACCTATTTTGGGCATATTCAAATTAAGCATCCCATTTTTTATTTTTTGTAATGAATATATATCCATATGGATTATCACGGATCTAGAATTCATTAGTGCTCATCATAGCTAGCTCTTAATTAGCGAAAACATGCATGTGAGGAAACAAATTCAAGGCCGGCCGGTCAGAGAGAATCTATGGAATGAAAGAGCTAATAAGTAGTAAACTGTGCATGGAACTTCTACAATTGTTGTATGTGTAGCAGCTAGTACATTACATGTATCATACTATCGATCATAAACGAGCAGAGCAGAGCAGAACCTTGAGGATCGGAGATCAATTGAAGAATCAAACAGAGCTTTAATTTCTCATCAGAAAACAGGGACGAGCCTGTACACCAAAATTGCAAGTTTCCTCAGTACTTGTTGGAAATCAAGCTCTTCATCATCAATTTCTTGAAGTTCCTCTGTCAAGAAGTTCCATTCGAGCAAGTGCTCTCTTTCGTAAAGGTCAAATGGATGGAAGACATTTAGAGCTTCGTTAATTCTTTCCACCAGTTGGACGACGTCATGAAGTCCAGACTTGGGCAGCTCGCATGTGGGTTGCACCACCACTTGGAACAGATTCTCCCCAAGTGGCGGCAACCGGCGGATGTCAAGAGTCAGGGGACCATGATCTCTAAGTTCAGCCAGTAGAAACATGTTTTCAAAAGGGCTTGGAACACTTCGGTTCTGGAATTCAGATGGTTGGCCAACCTCCCATGCAACTAAAGGCCCCACAGCGTCACAAATAGAACCTGCTGAAATCGTGGCGACTCCACCTTGATCAAATGGTGCAAGTTGAGTACTGCACAAGTGCCCGTCGTCCGACGCCCCCATGATCACATGCTCCCCATTGACGGAACTACCAATTTGGGCGGCTGGAATCAGCAGCTTCCCGTGTCCAGAAATCCCACTTGTGGCTTCTTCAAATTTTTTTTTTACTTCTCTGTTTTTTTTAATTTCATTTTTTATAAAGGATTAAAGATCGAGTTGAAGAGAAGAACCAATTAAAGAAATAAAGAAACAAAGAAAGAACGAAAGAACAAACCCTCCAGATTGTGGTTGCCGTCTCGAACTCCGGCGGTCGATTCCGGCGGAGAGTCGCCGGAATAGCTTTCCACAGTTTTGAGCGCTTCACCGCCCGTCCCAATATTCAAACTGAGTATTGTCCCATATCCTGTTCCAAAGATTCAATTTTTTTTTTTTAAATAAGGTATAAAGAAATGAGCTGATGGGGAAAAGAAAGAGAGAAAGAAAAGGGGAGAAATAGCACACCTCCATGGCTGTGTTGAACTCCGACGGTTGATTCCGGCGTAGAATCGCCGGAATTGCGTTTCTTGATTTCTCGCTCGTCCGTCATGCTTTCTTGATCCCTCGCCGGCGAAGACAAACGCAGAGACCGAGGAGCCGGGGTTTGCTGTATTTATACATGATTTGGACCCAAAATTGGATATCGGCTTAGAAAATACCCGGACCGGAATAGATAGTAATACCCTCTCTATTTTTTAAAATTTTATTTTTTAAAGTAATTTTAAAATATTCTTTGTTCATTTTCCGATCATTTTAAGATGAAGTAAAGCCATCACTCCATATTTTTTCAAAATCACAAGAGGCACTCTTGGTCATTTCTTATTTTCCACTTCTTATTAGGTTTTTACTTTTTTTCCTCTTTGTTTTCTTTTTCTAGACAATTTTTCAAAATTTAATTTCAAATTTTTATAATGTTTAAAAAAAATTCAAAATTCTTTGCGTTCGAAATGAAAATAATTAACATATACTCCATCTATTTCAAATTAAAAATTTCACCTTTTTGATTCCTAGAATAATTTTTTTGTAAGCTCAAAATGAAAATCCAGAATAAAAAATAAAAATATGGAAAAACAAAATAAAAAAATTGAAACATGCAAAAAAGAGTCTTATACAAAAGGAAATAATTCGAATGCCTAAGAAAGTTCTTAGAATTTGGATATCCAAAAAGTACATTCATTTTATTTTTTGTTTTATTTTATTTCTTATTTTATTCATTTTTTTTGAAGTTATCAAAAAAAAGTTTTTATTTTTTTATTTCACCAAACAATTTTTTTTAAAAAAAAAAAATTCAGACGTACAGATGCATGCAGTATATTTTAATTAATTTTTTTCAAACAAATGTAATTTCAAATTATAAGCATATTATTAAAAAATATTTAAAGGAAATTTAAAAAGAACTAATTAAGAAAGGAAACAATTTAAAAAAGGGAAAACATGGTTTGGAAAATATGCATTATTCTTCGGAAAATTTGCCAGAAATGGCCAAAAAATGATCACAATGGGTGTGGTGCAAAATCTTGAATTCACGAGAACTTTAGAAATATTGTTTGAAAACAAGGAGATATTGGTGCCTATTTTTCAAACCACGGACGGCACGGAGGGCGTCGGTGTTATTTGGCCTCCTATGATATTGATGTTATTGTTAACTTTTAAGGGAATTCCCTTCCATCTTTTTTTGCCACAACTTTTGTTAGGAGATACGGTAATCCTACAAATCCGTACCATATCCTACTATTCAAATGGTTTCATATATTTTTGGTTACACCTAAACTCATGCTAACAATATGATAGCATGCGTGTCATATTAATGCCAAACTATTGCATAACACTTTGATGTTTTGAAATTTTTTTATTCATAACAAACAGTCGATGTAATTTTTTAAGTATGTTGTAGTCACACCAAATAAATACTACTTTCGCCCCTAAATATTTGTCTAGCATTGACTTTTTTCAGTCAACTATTTTTAACGTTTGACCTAAAATTATATAAAATATAGATTGTATATTAATGTGATAAAATGATATTTTGAAAATATTTGATATAATAAATCTAATAAGAGTATTAAAAGTATTTGTCCATTTTTAACTTTGTTCATTCAATTGTTTTCAACGTTTGACCTAACTTATACGTAGTATAAAATATACTCCGCATATTGAATATTAATTAGATAAAATTATATTTTGAAAATATTTGATATAATAAATCTAATAAAAGTATTTTGTATCGAAATCTAGTATCATTTTTATTTAATTTGAGGAAACATTTGCCCAAAAAAAGTTAAAAGTGGACAAATATTCTAAAAAATAACAAATGAAAATGCATAATTAATTTATTAATTTAATATTTTCGATTTAATGCCTAAACTTAGTCGTTGCGATGTCGTTCGTAAACGAAATGGCATCATGCCATAATAATGTCAAACCACTCTAAAGTTTATTGGCTTCAAAACAGTGCACTCGCATCTCCTCTGATCATTTTTCGGTATTTTCCAGCGAATAGGGCATTGTCGCATAATTTCTAAACCATATGGACATTCGTACTCATTTCTTATTTTTTTTATTATTTGTGCTTTCCCATTTTTAATTATTTTGTATCACTTTTTCCTTTTCCTAGAATTTTTTAAAAAATATAGTTTCAAGTTTTTATAATGTTTTACGGAGTAAATATTTTAAAATTCTTTGTTTTGAGAAAAAAATTAACATACATTACATCAATCTCAAAGTAAACATTTTCACTTTTTGTTACTTAAAATAATTTTTTGGAAAGTTAAAAAACCCAGAATAAAAAAATAAAAATATAGAGCAAACAAAGTGGATGAAGTTTGACTCTGTGAATAGTAAACATGCATTATAATTTAGGACGGAGAGAGTACTAAATAAGACCAATATATAAGTCATATCCAATGTAAGACTTAAACATTTTTATTTCCTAAATATATAGTACGGCGTACTTAATAATGTCTATTGGTAGAAATAATATCTTTTTGTGATAAACATTTACTTGAATAATCACTAATGGATAATAATCAATGGTTCTACATTGAAAAATAAAAACATATGGTTTTATATTGAAAAAGTCAATATGTTTTAGTGCTATATGAGTATATGAGTAGAGTTAGATAGAAATTCACTATTTACAAACACAATAATAAATCATGCTAATCATCTTTATGTTAGATCAATTTGCACTAAAAAGTACAGAGTATTAAAACACATGTTATTTTCTGATATAGTACTTAAATTTTTTTTGTTCCCTATATAGTACTAATGTTTATTGACGAGAATAATGTCCAGTAATGGTGAACATTAAGTTTGAACAATGTGTAGTAGCGATGGACATTGCTTAAATAATACGTAGTAACCGGTAGACAATGACACATGGTACTACATTCAAAAATAAAAACATATTGTATTACATTAGAAAACTCACTATATTTTAATACTCCGTCCGTCCTTGAAAACCGTTCTCCTTTCTTTTTTCATCTGTCCTAAAAAACACTTCTCATTTCTATTAAAAAGTCACTTTTAACCCTAACTTTTTCATACCCTAGTACCCTACCTATCACATCATACTTTTTTACTAATAATCTATCCACCAAATCATATTTTTAACTACCACATCAAAGGACATTTTTGGATATTCAATATCAAAATACACTCCCCTTAAATTTCTCTTCAAAATCAAAACTCTCATGTTTTTCGGGTCAGAGGGAGTACTATTTAAGTAAATTTCTCTCTTTATTATGCATAGTTCTCATGTGTTCTTAGCTCATCATTGAAATTCTTTTCTTCCCAAATTTGCATATATTAAAGTACACCACTTCTCCTATTTATAACACTTCACTACCAAACACTAAAAGATAGTTTAACCTTAAGTTTGAAATACAACTAACGTACTCTTAGCCAAATTAGCTCCCAGCATAAACAACAAAATAATAGAGTAAATTTCATAAAAGGTCCCCAGTTATAGGTCATTTTACATATTTAGTCCGTACATATCAAATATTACTTATTTAGTCCCTAATTATTATATTCATTTTCACGAATGGTCTTTTGTTAACATTTACATTAAAAACGTAGATAAAATTGTAAATTCATACTCTTTTCTTTCCTCAATTAAGTTTCATCCTTCCTTTCGTACTCTTTCTCAAACTCATCGCTGAGTTTGAAGCTCTAAACCCAAAACTGAAATGATCACTCCTCTCTAAAATCAAAACCAATAAACTTTATGAATGAGTTTTATCGGTTACTCTCAATAAATTACAAAAAAATAAATAAAACTCATTCATGAAGGTTACTGGTTTCAAATTTGGGTTCCATCAGTTCGACAAGCAATTGAGAGAAGAGTGATAATTTCGAATTTGGGTTCAAAGTTTCAAACTCAGTGACAAGTTTGGGAAAGGAGTGCGAGGAGAGGGAAGAAGCTTAACTGAAGAGAGAAAGAAGTGTGAATTTACAATTTTATCCATGTTCTTAACAGAAATGTTAAAAAAAGACAATTCGTGAAAATAAATATAATAATTGGGGACTAAATAAGTAATATTTGATATGTACGGACTAAATATGTAAAACGACCTATAACTGAGGACGTTTATGGAATTTACTCAAAATAATATTCTAAATTAAAACGCCACATAAAAGAGTACCAAAACAATAAAGTTAAAAACAATTTTTTTTTTTTTTTACAATGATCACTAATCTGCTTCTTCAAAGAAGACATCTGACTCTCTTATGCAGCATATTCCCGTTTGAGAGCCATCTTGAGCCTCTATTTAATTTTCATGCCCCTGGTAGTATTTCACAATTACAATATTTTTTTGCAAACCTTGTAATGCCATATTCTTATAACCTAGAGCGCTACCAACACCAATAGAAAGTAATAAAATAGAAAAATTATCAAACACTCATGTACGTTTAGTTTAACACTACTAGAAAATAGACTTCACACATTGGATAAAATTGGCTTTACACATCGGAAAGTAGTCGTTGTATATTCAACTGATGGGAAAGGTGTTGACTTTAGACAGCGGATAAAAACCCGATGTATAAAGTTTATACAGCAGATAAAAATCCACTATCTAAAGTTAGTATCTTTCCCATCGGTTGAATATACGACTACTTTCCGCTGTGTAAAGCCAATTTTATTCGATGTTTAAAGTAAGAACTATAGGCATCAAATACTTATTCACTATCTAAAATAATACTTAATTTTTAGAAAAATAACTTTAATATTATTCTGAATAATCTAATCTAAAAGTACTTTTGCACAAACTTTTATTATTGCTAGCGGTATTTATACTCGTATATATTTATGAGAGAAAATAAAAAATACAAAGAGCATGTTTTGTAATGCCCAAAGCATAATACAAAGTAACATAATAATTACTCTACAAATAAGAGATATAAACAAAAAATCTAAGGTACACTGTCCAAATTTCACACCAATTTTGCTCAGCTACCTCTAAATCCAATCCTAAAAGATGTGTTCAGAGTCAATCTGGCCACGTACAAACACCATCATCCTATCATTGCAAGCAGGCTTGGTCTATATGGCCCTCGATCCATTTTATAAGTTGAAGCCAAAGCCAAA